ATAATTTCCTGATTAATAATAATAATAATAAATTTATTAGCTTTGTTTAATTATTTTCTGGTTAGTGACAGTCTTTATTCTGGTATTTATTTGTATGTATTTACATTTTCGACGGGTGAGAGGTGGGGGTGTATATAAGATTAGTCATCATAGTTTTTTTAATTAAATATGTATAATGTACGTGTGAATGAAGGGAATACAATAATTTATAGAGTTTTATGAGGTTCTTTTGGGTTTTTTTTCTTTAAAGTTGTAGATATCTCGATATGTTTATGGTGGAAAATTAATCATGAATCAATATAAATAAAGATCAGTTTCAGGTTTGGATCATCAATCAGTCAGTAACAACGTGGAACTTCGTACGTACGTACGTACATCAGTTCAAATTGTCATACCACATTAGCACACAGATTAATTTCTCGATTCAAATCCCATAGTAGTAGAGATAGTGAAAGTATAAGTAGTAATAGGGAACATTAGGGTTTGATGATGTTATTTAAGGAGTATAATCCAGTGGAATAAATTTGGAAAGAGAAAAAATGGGACACTAAGAATTCAGAAGATTAGAATTTGGGGGAACACAAAGAGTGGATGCACCTGCGCCATTGCAAACGATTTTAAGCCACGTCATTCAAGATCTCTAACTATCGGTTGCTATCGTCTCGCGGACCCCAACCAGGTAGTCTACACCTACCAACATGGCTCAGTCCACTTGTCACTGACTTCATGGATCCGTCCCATGTTTTTCTTCCAACCTACTCTTACACCATAAAACATCGCTTGTCGGTGCAGTCGGTGGTTGGGCATACGTAACACATATCCTAGCCATCTCAACTGATGAAGTTTCACTACTTCATCAATTGATTTGTCATCCTTACCTAGTACCCGTTTCCTAACAACTGCATTCAGTCAGTCAAGTGGTCTTGAGTGCTGCTAGAGGTATGAGGGCGGTTATCACTTCCCGGTTGCCCACACCGTGGAAGGGTTCTGCTGGAGGTACCTGAAAAGGAAATTGGATTAGAGGTGGTCATAGTGACCTGAGAGCGTGACCGCAGTGCCCAAGGGACAGCTGCTTGAGGTCGGTCACACACGACCTTTTTATGAGTAATTTTTGTGTTAGCTCCGTACTTGTTGGCACCTTACCGCCGGAGACCGAAATCCGTGGGATAAGGTGAGGTGTTCATTTTTAGGGTCGACCTTTTCTAACCCCACCCCTTCTTGTGGGAAGGCAGCATCGCTGTCATGCTGGTTGTCTGAAGGAAACACCTTACTGCTGTCACACCTCTGTACAGTCAGCAGTACGACTTCGCCTTCGGACCTTGGTTTTGTTGCTTTTAGTCTTACCGCTCTTCAACCGACCTGTCTGGCATGGTAGGACCTTGAGGAACGGTTGTTCCATCCAGTATAGCTCAGTTGCTTCATCACGATAGGCAAGCCCGACCATCACGTCAAGGTAGCAACAACGGTCAGGATAACAACTGCATTACTTACTCGATGGTCCCGGGATATACGAGCAATGTTTCGAAGACATCTATGTCGAATACTAGTAACCTACGAATATCCTCTACTGTTAACGGCCATGTTTCATCGCCATAAAGTAGGACGGAGCAAAGTGTTGCGCATTAAACTCGTCCATTGTTTGACACATTGCTGACGTATCGTAGAACAATTTAGTAAGCAATAATGTGATTAAACAAACCAAGCAAATATAGAAAACCGGTTAATGGAGTTGTGCTTCTTCATTGAATAGGGTGGTTGGAATATGTTCTACGTATCTCCAACCATTTCCTACTTCAGCAGCCGATGTTAGCTTGTATAGAAGGGATGAACGCTAAAGTAAGACGTGGTATTAGTCTACGTAGTCATTGACTGTTGGTTTGAGTTGCCTAAGCAGATACAGCCTTATCATTTGGGGTTCATATGATAACCTCAATAAGTGGTTGGATATATATTATATGGCTCTAAGAGCTTATAATAGCTCAGGTTCATTCACTCTTTATTTTTTTCTTTATTTTGTGCTCGAGTATTCCTTCATATTATGTCTTTTCGAACTATGTTTTCAATTTCAATTCTTTCGAACTATCATTGATATCACTATTATTTCGACTTTTCTACCATTCGTTTTCTAAAATTTACCTTGTTGTACTAATGTGGTATGATATGGTGAATATACATTTGTGCCAGATTCCATGGTGATTATGACTGGTTGACTGATATCTTAGAACGCTATAAATTCTCCACCTTTAGTTTTTGACACTTGTAATATCTCATAGAGACTAGATGGTATTTGTCAACCTTTATTTTTCGTCTATTTATTGTAATACAATGCTTAACGGTTACATTTTCTCTTACAGAAAATGCATATGTGATTAACATGGGTTCTCTTTGTGAAGATTGTTTTGGTTTTTTTTGTTTTAAGGCTTATGGAAATTATATTGATCTATTTAAGATAGCAGAGGATAAAGGTGTATTCACTATATCACTAGTCGATTTGTTCAAAGTCATCTTGATAGCTGCCCCTAAATTCCCTGGTACTGTCGAGAGTGGGGAGAGTCCGCTCTCCCTCTCGAAATGCTCTCAAATGACCACGCGTATATAGCCTCTGCCAGCGAAGTCCTACTCACATACATACATTGAGAAAAATGTCTCATACATTTGACACTATCCTTTTGAATTGAGATCATGAATAGATCAATGTTAGACCGCCATTGAAAATCTGGATGACCGTTTCACTGTAGTATGAAACTTTTCAGCGATGCGCATCGACGATCTCTCGTAAGGGATTCGAACCCAGGAACTTCGGTTTCGCTTGTGAACATTTAACTTCTAGACCATTGAATCGGCGTCGACTAGTGTCATTGCCGAACTAAGACGTTACAACCGTCCAGTGCTTTCAGGTTTTCAATGGTTATCTAACATTGATCGGTTCATGATCTCAATTACAATTCGCAACCCCATACTGATAACTAAGAATAAGAAATTGTCGTGTTACCTCAGACCATAGAATGATTTAAGGATTACCAGGGTAAATTCAAGGTGAAAACAAATTGTTTTTTCTTGTACACATAAGGGGATGGGTTTAAATTTACAAATAGCAATGGCTTCAAGAAAGCTAAGAATTTGTCCTTGACAATTTCTATACAACGTTTTAAAAGCTGTATTTATGTCATTTTTATACCCCGTTTCAATGATAGCTTTCGCCCTCCCCCCACATACTCTGTTACGGCCGAGAGTGGGAAGAGTCAACTCTCTTAAAATGCTCTCACATGGCCACGTGTATACAGCCACTGTCAGGGAATTCCTACTCATTTCCTTCCTGTAGTGGAAGTGTTGTTCAGGAAATTGAGAGGACAAAAAGCGAATGTGATCTGTTCGACTTACTTCCTGGTCTATTGAATTAATAGAGACTTGAAAACTCATCCCGTCAGTCATTGAGCACGACGTGGAGCAAAGATAAGTGACAAAAAGTCTACATAATGTTTGTGATTAGTAGGAAAGGTAGCGAAATGAAGAGACAGAAAAGTTATCATGAATAGGTAACGATAGACAACTTTACAGACTTATGAATGAAATATATATTAAAAAGTCATATGTGAGTGAGACTATCCCGAAAAATATCGGATTGTAATCTACTCTCAGTTGAAATGATTGGAGCTATGTGTAGAACATTTCAGAGTACAGTTCTACTGGTATTCAGTTCCCCTCCAGTTCTACATTTAGTATTTTGTTATTTATTGATGTTAATTTCGTCTGTGTATGGTGAGGCATTGTGTTAACTTGGAGCGTTACAAGTATAAGGTAGATCCTAAGTTATATATGACTGACTGATTGACTTCCTATTCTGTTTATTATCAATTTGGATGTAAGCATGATTGAATAATCATTGGAAACGTTTGTTGAATGTTTTTACTCATAGTTATGACAATTTCACTTATCGATGAAAACTTCACAGCTCGATGATTTCTCCTGTCAATATTAATGTGATCTCAGGTTTTTGTGAGATATGATCATAGATGAAGGTATTGCAAATGTAGATCTTAGTAACTTCAAAATAGATTATGGGAGTTTTAGTAGGAACCAGTGATTGATAGAGTTGAACGAAATTGGGAGTGAAATAGTGACTACTGTTGATATTAAATGGCAGTCATACTATATTAGGGAATTGTCTAAATAATGGATCGAATAGGTCAAATAGAAATTTTAAACGTTTTTTAATTTTTTCTACTCATGATACTGAAAACTTCACTAAGAGTGGGGGTGTTGTTTACGAAATCTAAAGGACGGCTCTCTAACCGGGTAATTGGATACAAAACGTTCGGGCACCCTTGGAGTACCATAGCGCTCACACAAATCAGTGATAAATACTACTGACTTCATTGTTACTGTATAGCGCATATGTATTTGGTGCCCATCCCACCTAGTATCGATATTTATGTGTTCATATCAATCAGTCATTCGCTATCGATAATCATGATTCTGTTACCTCGTACATTGATCGGATCATTTGACACTAATTGGCCTTGAATAAATCATTGATTGATTATGATTAGCTGACTGACTGATTGGAGTATTAGAACCTCAACTAAATTCTACATTGTTTTATATGGTTTATATGGTTTTATTCTCATGATTCTGACAATTCACCTTAAGGGGGGCTGGTTGTTGTTTACGAAATCTAAAGAACTATGCTTTAACCCAGTAGGTAGACACGGAGACTTCGTACACCTTGTCTGTATCATAAGCCCCCCACACACACACAAATCAATGATAACTATTATTGACCTTATTGTTATTGTGTTTGGTGCTCACCCACCCTCCTGCGATCAATAATCTGTTACCTCATACATTGATCGAATCATTTGTCACTAATTGACTTTGAATATAAATCAGTCATTGATTGATTGATTGATTGATTGATTGATTGATTATCACTTATCAGTAGTATATTGTGTTTTGTTTTTATCTTTTCTCAATTATTATTATTATTATTTGTTTTGTAGATTTTAAAAGGTATTAAAAATTTTTGGAAATATAAAAATGATGAAGATAAAGAAAGTATTCTATTACATCATTCTATGTTATTAAAACATCCAATTTTTTTCTCTGTCTTACAAATATGTTTACCTGATTGTGATTTTTTCATTGATTCATTATATGAACAAATTGAATATTTTTTATTAAATTCACGTTATTTAATTGATCATGTACCGGAAAATTTAAATACTCGGCAAATTATACAAAATTGTTTAAAATATCGTTTAATATTAGTTGGACAAAAATTTCATTTAATTCAATTAGATATTGATATGACAATACGTTGGATTACATTATTGACTCAATTAATTTGTTATGGAATTATAGAACCAGAATCGAATTCTTTATTATTTTATATGGTTTATGATATGTTACAATTATTAATACATACATTAACAGCACGTACTGGTATTGAAGGTAAACATTATCAAATGATTGTAAAGAAATTACGTCGTGAATTATTAGAACATCCATTAAATACTGGTATTGAATTAATACGTCCATTATTATTATTAACTAAAAATTCATATACAATATTTGTAACTGGATGTCAATTACGTCATCATAGTTTACGTGGTGGTTTCATGAGTAATACTAGTGGTGGTAATAGTAGTAGTGGTGTTGGTAGTTGTGGTAGTGGTACTGGATCTAATGGTGGTGGTAGTGGTGTTAATTCTAGTGGTATTGGTAATAATAATAATAGTAATAATAATAATAATAAATTAAGTCATTCAAAAGGTTCTAATAAAGCTGGAAATGGTTTATTCACTGGTGGATCAAGATTTCTTACTTCATCCTCATCATCATTATCATCTAATTCTATACAATTAGGTAATATTAATCAATTAAAAAAACATGGTTATCAATTATTAGGTAAAGAACGTTTTAATCCATGGGAAATATATGATCCTAGTAAACAATCCTTATTATTATCTATTCATGGTGCTATGAATATAGAATCAATATTATCACGTATTGAACAACAAGCAAATCGTTTAATACGTCATGATCATTTTCATAGAATGTATCATTCACCAGAATTTTATATGATACCAATGTATCCACAAATATATGATGAAGATATTACAATGAAAGATCTTGATGAACATAATCATAATGATCTTATTAAAATGATAAAAACAGAAGAAAATCTCAATAATAATAATAATGATACTACTAATAGTATTACTAACAATCCTCCTATAAGTAGTATATACAGTAAGAATCATAACAATAATTCTATGGATGTAATGAGAGAATCACAATTATTATCATTAAATGAAATGACACAATTAACTCACACAAATGTATCTGATTGCTCAAATCAATATCTACCGATCAATGGTAATGATAATAATAATAATATTAGAAGTGGGGACTCGAACAATAACTATCACCAGTCATCTACCAGTGGTGTAGTATATGATCCAAAACATAATATCACTAATATATCATGTCATTCTACAATGAATTTAATGTTAAATGAATCAAATTCATCTATAAAATCTGTTAATCCTATAGATTGTGGTAATAGTAGTAATATGATGATGACAATGATGACAACATCATCTGGATCAACAACTGTTCATACTACAACAAATAATAGTAATAATATACAATTTGGACGTGGGAATAATCGTATGAATACTTTTCAATCATCTTCATCGAATACATTAGGAGGAGGAACTGTTGGTGGTGGTGGTAGTAGCATTGGTGTTGTATCGTCTTCATCATCTTCATTACAAATTCACTCACATCCACAACAAATTCATACGCATCCTCATCATCATCAACAACAACAACAGATACATCTAAATTTAGATCAGGCATATACTAATTCAACGCGTAAATTACCATCTCAACAGACTGTTTTCAATGATTATTCTAATCTGAATGAATTAGATCAACGATCTATGAATAATGTGAATCATTGTGTAACAGTAGCAGGACATATGAATACAATAACATATCCTCTCAGTCATCATCATAATCATCAAATGGATGTTAATTTGCATAAAACGAATAAATTATTAAGTATGGAATATAATGACAGATTGATTACATCTCAGTCATCAACATCATCTCAACAACAAATTCAAATTAATCCAACAGGAACATCATCAATACCACCACCTTCAAATAATGCTACTATGCTATCAACACCGATGAATAACAATGTTGTTGCTGGTCATGTGTTGACATCAGCAGCGAAAACAGCAACGACAAAACGTAAACGAGGATCAGGACGTCGTGGTGGTGGTGGTGGTAATATAACGTCAGATCGAAATTCTATACGTCCTAGCGGTGCAACTACTACTCGTGGTGGTATGCATACCACTGGTCCGGTGAATGTCGTAGGCTATGAAAGGATGAATAATAATAATAGTACTAATAATAGTTCCGTAAATTTATACTCTTATAATATTATCAATCCGGAACAACAAGTCAATGAATCCAATCACCAATGGACAAACAAACAAAATGTTTATAATATGAATTTACTTGAAATGCAACAACAACAACAACCACCATCATCCACTCGTGGACATCATCAGCAACAACATTTGGCTAATTTAAGTGGTTTCTTGCGTAATCGTGCCCAGCAGCACCATCAACAACAACAACAACTTCATCCTGAGCAATCGTATGGATCAAGTTTCAATGCAAATAACCCTGTTGTTTTATCACATCAAGGTCATGTGTTTGACCAATCACAACTGAGTAGCCAATTTAACCAATCTAATAATCATCTAGTTGATAGTCCATCTGGTTCATTAAGACGGCATTTAACAACTAGTGGAGGTGGGGTTGGCAATGTATCTCGATCTATGCAACAGTCATCTCAACAACAATCTCATCAAATTCTTAGTCATCCTACTGGAACACCTCAACAACTTCAATCTGGTATGCCAAATCCACCACCTTATCCAATATCTAATCATCAATCACAACAATATTCATTTCGTGCTCCTCCATCTGATGAAACTAATTATATGATGAATACAAATGAATCAAGTATTGATGAACAATTTAAACGACAATCGATAAATCCTGTCATGAATTCTATTCATCAATCTGGTACAACAATGATTTCACGTTCATCAACTTATGAATCTCCTGTTAGTCATCTACAAACTGATGTTCCATCACAACAACAACAACATATGTCTTATATACCGCCGTCACAAGTTGATACACCATTAAATCCATCTAGAATTCATTCTCGTGTTATTAATCAATCTCAATCTAATCAAATGATTCGATCTGATATAACACCAACGACAGTAATCAATACTGGTAATAATAATAATCAACCATCTCATATGTCAAATCTACCTCATTCATCATATTCACGTTATACTGGTTACTAATACTGTTATTTTGTTTCTATCCTTATGTATATATGTGTGTGTGCATGTATGTATGAGTGTATTATCTATTCTGTGATTATTCTTATATTATCCTTCTTGTTTGTACAGTTATAATATCTAAACAATTATTTGCATATATCGAAGGGATAATGTCGATTGGTGACTATTATTATTCTAATTATGAGGTGGGTTGTTGTTGTTGTTGTTGTTGTTGTTGTTACCTTTTCATCTTATTTATAATTGCCATTATAATTTCTTTTCATCAAGGGGATGTAAATGGAGTGTAAATGTTATTCATGTACGTTAATACTACTTCTACTACTAATACTAATATTAATACTAATACTACTACCAATACTACTACTACTACTACTACTACTACTATTATTATTATTATTACTGTTACTACTACTAGTACTACTACTACCACTTATACTACTACTACTACTAATACTAATACTAATACTACTGTTACTACTACTACTGCTACTACTATTACTATTACTACTATTATTATTATTATCATTATTATTATTACTATCATCTTAATCATGTTTAAATATTAGAGAATATCAAAGAAGTGAGCTTAATGATCTTCAACCTGTTCTTTTTTTTGTTTTCTTAGAAAGATAATTGATTTAATTTACAGAAAATGTTTTCTTGTAGTTTTTTATTGTTGATTACTTACTGAAGCTTGATAGCCCCTCATGGAGGAGTATAGGACCGCCCACCAACCCTCTCCATTCAATATTATCCTGAGCAATCCTTTCCATTTGTTATTCATCCTTTACATATCTACTGGAAAGAATGACTTCTGGTCAAAATACCAGAGAAAGGCGATCTCAGCAACTGTGATAACTATAAGGGGAGTCACTCTTCTCTCAATAACAGGAAAAGTTTTCAACAGGGTATTGTTAAACATCATGAAGGACTGTGTAGACGCTCAACTTCGTGACCAACAGGCAGGATTCCGTAAGGATAGATCGTGTACAGACCAAATTGCAACTCTACGGATCATTGTAGAACAATCAATTGAATGGAATTCATCGCTTTACATCAACTTCATTGACTATGAGAAAGCATTTGAAAGCGTGGACAGAACAACCCTATGGAAGCTTTTTCGACACTATAGCGTATCTCAGAAGATAGTCAATATCATACAAAATTCTTATGATGGAATTAACTGCAAAATTCTGAATGGAGGACAGTTGACAAACTCCTTCGAAGTAATGGTTGTTTACTCTCACCCTTTCTCTTTCTCCTGGTGATCGACTGGATCATGAAGACGTCAACATCTGAAGGGAAGGGAAGCACGGGATATAGTGGACAGCTAGGATGCAGCTGGATGATCTAGACTTCGCAGATGATCTGGCTCTTCTATCGCATACGCAACAACAAATACAGGAGAAGACAACCAGTGTAGCAGCAGTCTCAGCAGCAATAGGTCTCAATATACACAAAAGGAAAAGTAAGATTCTCCGATACAACACAGCATGCACCAATCCATTCACAATTGACGGAGAATCTTTGGAAGATGTACAAACCTTTACATATTTGGTCAGCATCATCGATGAACACGGTGGATCTGATGCAGATGTGAAGGCACGGATTGGCGAAGCAAGAGCAGCATATTGACAACTGAAGAACATCTGGAACTCAAAACAATTGTTGACCAACACCAAAGTCAGAATTTTTAATACAAATGTTAAGACAGTTCTACTGTATGAGGCCGAAACCTGGAAAACCACGAAAGCCATCATCCGGAAGGTACTGGTGTTTATTAATAGTTGTCTACGCAAAATACTTCAGATCCGTTGGCCGGACACTATTAGCAACAACCTACTCTGGGAGAGAACAAATCAGATCCCAGTGGAGGAAGAAATCAGGAAGAAGCGCTGAAAGTGGATAGGACACACATTGAGGAATGCACCGAACTGCGTTAACATAAGACAAGCCTTCATATGGAATCCTCAAGGTTGAAGGAGGAGAGGAAGAACAAAAAACACATTACGTCGGGAAATAGAGATAGACATTAGAAAAATGACAAGAATTGGATGAAACTAGAAAAGAAGGCCCAGGATAGGGTGGGTTGGAGGATGCTGGTCGGCGGCCTATGCTCCATTAGAGCAAGAGGTGTAAGAAAGTAAGTACATATCTACTTCCGTTCCTCAACTCAGTGTATTCTTTGGTCTTCGTCTTTTCCGCTTCCTTTCAGGATTTCAAATTAGTGCTTATCTCATGATGCAGTTTGATGATTTCCTCTATGTATGTATGTGCTATCCACTTCCAACATTTTTTCCTAATTTCCTTCTCACATGGAAATTTGTTTGTTCTCTCCCATAGTAGGCCATTGTTGATTGTATCCCATCAACGGATATTGAGTATCTTACACAGACAATTGTTTATAAATATTTGTACCTTTTCGATGATGGTTGTGGTGTAGTTCTCAACGTTTCAGCTCCATACAGTGGAACTTTCTTGACGTTCATATTGAAGATTCTGACTTTGATATTGACTTGAAGATAGTTATTTTGAGTTCTATATGTACTTTAATTGTAGGAATGCTGTCCTTGATTTGCCAATCCTCACCTTTACATAATTGGATTCTCCTTGTTCATCGATGATGCTGTAAGATTTCACATCATCCACAGTTTCTCCATCAACTTAAATAGAGTTGTTGTTCTCTGAGTTGTATTTGAGGATGTTGCTTCTTCTTTTGTGTATGTTGAGGCCTACTGCTTTAGAAGCTGCTGCTACACTGTTTGGTTTCATCTACATTTGTTTGTGCGTATGTGATAGAAGGGTTAGGTCGTTTGCGAAGTTCACATCTTCCAGTTGATTTCGAGCTGTTCATTGTATTCCATGTTTCCTCTCAGATATCGAGTTTTTCATATCACAGTCAACCGCGAGACGAAGCTGGAAGAGGGAGAGTAGACAGTCTTGTCTGACTTCGATCCTCACATGGAATGCGTCTGTCAGCTGTCCTCCATGCACCACTTCGCAGTGTTGTCCGTCTTATAATAGTTTATGATCATTGAAATAATGAACAACTAAGAGATTTTCATAAAACAAAATAGGATTAATACGATCTAGATAAGGTCGAACGACTAATATATGATATTACCCTACGTGATCCAACAAAGAAAAGTCAGGAAGTTGAAATTATACGTAGAGTAACTCTGTTTATACAAAAAAAAACAATTATATCTCTAAAGTATAACAAAATGATCGAACTAAGACCTAGAATAACAAATCAGTTTTCCTTGTGGAAATCGTTGAACTTAATTAAGATCATGAACCTATCTGGGTTGTCAAGTCGTAGATGCGTATTACTGGAAAGTCTCATATTGGTTAGTCGGCTACAACGTAGGACCAGGCACATATATGCATCGGTCCAAGTTGCCATACCGTATTAGCGCAACAACATGAACACCGAAGCAATTTTAATCTCTTAGTTTAAAGGAAGACAGAGAGTGTATACACTTACGCCATTGTGATGGATTCTGAGTCATATCACCGAGAGTCTCCAACCATTGGTTACGATAGTCATGCGGACCCCATTCAAGTAGTCTGTATCTACCAACATGGCTCAGACTAGACGTTAGTTAGTGACTTCAAGCACTGATGACATGTTTTGGTTTGGCCAACCATCCCCAACACTAGTGAGCATTGCGCGTCGTGTTAATCGGTGTTCAAACATACGCAACCCGTTGCCCAACCATCTCAGTCGATGAAGATTCATAACCTCGTCAACTAATTTACCATCATCCGAAATACCATTGCGCGTCTAACCTCACTATTACTTACCCGGTGATCCCAGCAGATGCGAGCAATATTCCTAAGGCATCTGTGGTCAAATACTTGTAGCTTACGAGTATCTTCTACTCTTAAAGGCCATTTTTCTCAGCCGTATAGTAGAACGGAACGGACTGCCTAGCAATATACTCGTCGTTTTATTGATGGACGGATATCTCGCCTTCGCCATAGGTGATGTAATTTGACGAAAGCCAAACGAGCTTTTCGAATCCGTGCTGAGATTCGTCGGTCGGGGTCCCATATTGAACGAAATAACCATCTATTTTTTACAGGTTTTCAATGTTTATCTAATTTAATTAAGTTCATAATTTCAATAAGAAAACCGATTAGTTAATAAGTATGCAAGCACTTAACTACTAAACCACTGAGCCGGTCTTCAACAGTGTTAATATCGAACTTCAACTAATCCATTAGATTGAGCAACACATCCACCATTGTCATCAGTAATTTACTATCTGACAACTAACGCGGTTGAACTCCACTGATCACTGCTTCTCACTAGAACTTCAGGAAATACCTCTTGAAGTCAGTCACTAATGAGTTAATGATGATTATTATCAGAAGAGGGTTTTTGTGAAGATTTTAGTAATTTCAGTAGTTGAGATCATGAGTCAATTATAGCTTCGATATGCCAATAAGAGATTGATTAATTGCAGTCCTAAACAATAATGGGAAGATTCAAGTAAACAACACCCCATTGCACAAGTAGATTGTTATCAGGACTCAGTAGCTAAGTGGATAATGCGATGGCGTTTGAAACGTATGGTACTGGCTACGAGTCTTGGAGTGAACACCAACTTTGGCATGTAGGCACACCCAGCCGATGTGTCCCAAGTAGGACGAAACGCGCATCAAACTGGATTCTACTGATAGCCACTATCCATCTTTTTAATGGAGTTTTATTCTCTGAGCTGGATGGTTTGGTCGTAGAGAGCCCATATTGATTATAACTGATTTAATTCATCAATCAACAGAATAGGGTTTTTCGTACATGGATACAACTTAGGAAATGTGTTATTAAACGTTGTCAGCTTTTTTACAAGTGTTTTCAAAACAGACGTCATCAAATCTTTTGCGAATGCTAATTATCTAATTGATATATGTAGCTCTGAACGGTCGTTTCGTCCTAGTATGGGACACCTCAGAAGTGCGCATCCACGATCCCTCCCGCGAGGTTCGCACCTAAATAGTTAAAGCTTTATAAAAATCGAAACTTTCAATTCGACATATAACAGTATAACTGACCAGTTCTGGTAGAGAAGTGAGGTTCACTAATAACTGTCCACATATAAATAAATATGGTTATTACGGTAAAATGGATAGGTTAACATTAATAATAGTCTAGTAAGGCTAGGTACAGGGGTATTTAGTAAAACGGCTAAATCCATTGATGATGTTAAGTACTTTCATCCATCAAAGTTGTTAGGGCAACTGTTCATGAAATTACTGATTCTGTTGATATGATCAATCATGGAATGTACAGATTCCTTGATTTGAGCCGATGGAATAATCATAATTTTTCAGTATAGGGGTTGTGGAGATTATTAAGTTAGTGATTGAGATCATGAACCGATTAATGTAAGACCACCGTTGGAAACCTAGAAGCACTGGACGGCCGTTCCGACCTCAGCAGTGCGCATTCACGATCCCGCTCGCGGAATTCGAACTCAGGACCTTCAGTATCGCGCGCAAGCGTTTAACCTACTGAACCACTGAACCGGCATTCAATAGTATTAGTGTCTAACATCAACCAATCCACAAAATTGCGCGACCATCTTCCAGTGTACTGAGGTAGATACTTGTCTCTAACCAACAATTATCAAAATTAATCGGTTCATGATCTCAATCAAAAATATAATTTTTCAGTTGAATAGGTTCACACGAAATAGTTCCCTGCAATTTCTAAAATATTACGAAGTTTATTTGAATAAAACAAGTTCAAGAAATTCTTCAAAAAAGGGCTCTGAAAAGGCTGAGAAACATCTTGGATAATTACTTATGCTTCTACCATGTTTATTAGCATTCCAGAATATTCCGGAAACTCAAAACCATCTAAAATACATTAAAAACCTTAGATGTTCTATACATAAACGAACCTTTGGAATAAAGCGTTTCTTCCATATTCAAGCCTTTTCTCTCGTGTTCAAGTCGCTGTGTAGATTGAACCTGTGTGTGTGTGTGGGGGGGCTACTAGAAGATCTTAAGAACCATTCAATCAGAAAACTTATCACCATTATAGACGAAATAAAACTTTAAAATTTCATCAAAGGGTATATCTATAGAGTA